GTAAAACAAATTGCTTGTATTTATTCCTTTCTACACACTTTGCAGATTATTTTTTCTGCACTCCACCTGTTTAATCTGTGCACGTTCTGGCGAGGTGACAATCATTATAGTCGCGCTTTGCAGTGCGCGCACATTCGACCGTGCATCATCGCGTTATGACCGCAGGAGAAACGAGGTCCAGACTGATTTTTGTGCGTCCCACCTGAGCACTGACTTCACCTGCACTGACAGTCGCCTCGCTGTGTGGAAATGAATGTAGAGCGAGCGACGTCGCCTCCCGTGTGTCGAGCCCTTCACACATGCAGCGGCGCGTGCTCCTCCCGCAGCAGGCAGTGTGGTCGGTCGGTTGGCATCCGACCGGAGGACGCGCCGTCACATAAACATGTAAACAGTTCGGCGTTCATTTTCACACACCCGAACCAGGTCCGGATAAGTTTTTTCCCCTCTTCATTTGCGCTCTCAGCCACGCTGCTTCCCGCTTCCTCTGTTTTGACTCCAGCTGGTTAKYTCATCAAAAAGAATTGKGCGGTTGGCCGGTAGACTACAGATCTCTATCATAGGACTAATTTATATTGTTTCTACCGTATACCATTTATATCGCGCATTCCTAATAGCTGCTGTGAAGAAAATATGTTTTCATCACTTTTTAGAGCTGTTAGAGCTACAATATGTCCAACTATCCTGACAAGGACAGATTCCTGAGACAAATGAGTTTTTCATCACCTGGCACAGTCTTGTTTTTTGTTGATAAAAAAAACCTATTTGTTTAATCATACAATTATTTTTTGTGTTGTTTTAAAATAATTACGATTAGACAAAAATCTTGARAGCAATGATCTTTTTTGTAGGAATTAATTGAAATAACACTTTATGTTTGATACCACAAACACATTTTAAACACACTGCATTGTTTTTATCAAAGAGCTTTTTATCTTGTTGGAAAGAAATAATAATTTGGTCTCTGTAATAAACAGTCAATCAGATGTCTGAACATCTGTACCCAGAAATCTGATCAGGTGATGACAGCTTCTTTTTATTCAGAATCCAGAATCCAATTTGGCGCTGCTTGTGGGAATAGAGACCATCCAACAGAATAGTTAATAAAAAAAGAGGCAGTAGCATCACATCACAGTAAAACTGTAATTTCAGAACAGATGACTTTTTCACAGCTCCTTTTTATACGTGTTTCCCCTGGGCCTGTGGACAGTCAGCCTGAGCGATTATGCATCATCCAACCAAAGACTTGATCACTTATCAAATAAATCCTTATTTCTCTTTTGTGGTACAAGAAAGAGGAAGGGGAAATCCAGGAGMTTTATGTTACATCTCACTGAGTAACCACATGTGGTTTCCTCACCAGCGACTCATCTGCGCAGCTGTGATGGGCTCACCTCTTTCCTGCGGTCACTGTTGTCCCTCTGCAGATGCCATTTGATGAGAGCATGAGGAGAGCGCGCCTGACACTCCAGGAAGGTGCTGCTTCCCTCCACCCCGTACTGCACCATCTCTACAGTGTTCTTATTGGCTGCGGAGAAGAGGCAGAGGGATTTCCATGGCAACCAAAACACTCAATACTATCAGCTTCCCAGAACCAAACTCTGTTTCAAGGCAAATGATTTTTGTCTTTTACAATTTGGATTTCACAGACGACCAAACAATCTGCCAAATCACAGTCATTCCACCACGAGGCATGAAAACTCTCAGGTGATTAGTTACCGTTGGAGTTGAAGCCTCTGCACTGACGGATGGGGTTTCCATACTTGACGTCCTGCCTCCGGCTACGTCTGAAGGGGTCAGACCAGTTTTGCCAAATAAGGAGAGAAAAACATCATAAAGCAACCGCAAGCCATTCCAAGCGTTTCAAAAACACACAAAACCACAAAACACGAAAAAAAGGTGAAGCCCCGCAAAATTTTGTTTCACAGTTTGCGGACTCAGTCTTTTGCTAATTTTTTTCATGGAACCTAACTGAAGAAATTTGCTGGGGTTCTGTTTAGTCACTGATTTTTAAAGCACTACACATACTGTATTTTTTCTTAGGTGGATAATGATATATTTTTATAAACTTTTGTGTGATTATTTTTGTGATTAAAACGATTGTACGCACAGACTGGTCTGAATGGCTTGACGTCACGGTCACTCAGAGCAGGACGTACATTTAGTTAGAAACATCCCTGATGACACAACATGTAAAATTTTGATTAAACATGAGCTGGAAGGAAAAATGTTTGGAAGACTTGATCCCGAAGCAGGAACTGTTCCTCCCACTGATGTAATGGTTGTAGGCGGGGTCAGGTCTCGAAGATGATCTACAGTCTCTTGTATTTCCTGGTTCACGGCTGAATGCAGACTAAGAGCAATAAYTTCGGTCTTGGTCCAGCGCTGTGTGGGTTGTATAAATCTCTTTTACACTCAAACATTCAAGTATTGTTAGTATTTCTAGTGGGTTTTGAACACGTATTGAAGTGACTGAACACGCTTTATTTTTTATAACTACTAATATCCATCCATCCATCCATCCATCCATCCATCCATCCATCCATCCATCCATCCATCCATTATCTATACCCACTTCTTCCTTTCAGGGTCACGGGGGTCTCTGGTGCCCATATCCAGCAGTCACACTGCAAGGGGCGGGGTACACCCTGGACAGGTGAAGTCCATCACAGGGCCACACATAGAGACAAACAATCATTCACTCTCAGTCCTGCCCAAAGCTACATGGATACTGGCAAGGCATCTTTGATACCTTTTCAGGACTATTTGGACGAACTGTTCATCCATCACCATTCATCTCTCTCTTTGATGAATGGGGGATTGAGTTTCAC